GACGTCTTTACATGTTGACCTTGTGTACTGAAGATCATTCTATCAGTCACAATACATATCTTACAGGAAGAACATTCAAGGCCCGCAAGCAGCAACTGAAAATGTGGTTACATTATTGTTGCAACCATTCAAAAGGGGAAAAAATTTGGTATTCGGTTGTTTGTTTTTTTCTTCTTTTTTATTGTTCCGACGACTTGAAAAATGTGGAGGAACTTAGTACTCGGCGGTGTTTAGTTCCTTTTTTTCTGATTTCTAACGCAAAATCAGGTACCACAAATAATCATAGGAACGGGTTGAGAGAAAAACCAATATCAAGCACTTTCAGCCGTCATTTTAACAATAATAAATAATTTTCAAAAAATTTTCTGAGTATCGAGACGAACTGACTTGAAATTTTTTATGTTTTATTTCAATTTTGAACGAATAAAGCTAGCGGGCAGGCTTACAACAGCTTAATTATGCTTATTTTAAGCCCTAAAAAGCATAATTTCAAGCAAGAAAATTTAATTTCCCGAGTTTTTAAGCTACTTTTTGGGAACCATTAACTTCAAAAAATTGAATAAAAACACTACAATTGGAGAACACCAAAATTGATTTTTTTGTACTTTTCTAAAAACTATGGTCGGGAACACTCTGTGCTACTTGTCTGTAACCGGCTATCCTTGTTTACTTTTTCTTTTCCACGCAAAATCAGGTACCAAAAATAATCATTGAAACGTGTCGAGTGATATATCCTATTTACGCACTTTCAAGCGTGATTTGAAAGACTTTAAAAAAATTTTCAGTGTCGAGAAAAACTGGTGTGAATTTTTAGATTTTTTTTTCTAATTTTGAGCGCTTTAAGCGAGCGAGCATGCTTGTTGATGTTTAATTTAGGCAGGTTACAATAGCTTGTTTATGCCTAATTTTAACTTAAACCGATTAAAAATAGTTTTTGGAGTTTTTTAACGTCATTTTGAAAAACTTGAAAAAAATGTTAATTTTATTTTGATTTTTTGATGATTTGTTCTTGTTTTAGTCATTTTTAAGCGAATACTGTCTCTTGTTCAGTTTGCTTATCTTGCTATGCCTTTCGAATATGCCTAAACTGTAGTTGTTTTGTTCAGATCCTTTTATCACACCACGCAGAAAAGAAAACGACACTAAATTGAAAACATGTGTTTTTTAAGACTATGGTCGGAAAATTCTGTGCTACATGCACAGTAACCGGCTATCCTTATTGCTGTTACTAATCTTTTTATCATCTGTTTTCTTTTGTTTAAAAGCTTTCCCTTGTTGCTCCTTATTGATTTTTCTATTTGTGCTTTTTATCTGAAAACAATATTGTTACTTTGTTCCGACCATTTGGCAAGGTTTGAAGAAACAATGGCTGCGCTGATGTTTTGTTTTCCAGGCACTACCTCAAAAAAATCTCTTAGGGGTAAAATACAGAAAGAAAAAACAAAATGATTTCCGACGCAATTCAGATTCCCATGAAAAATTCAAAACAATTTGTAGTTCCGAGAAAAGCTGGTCTGAGTTTTTTTGGTTTTTAGACTAAATACCGCAAAAATTAGGAATGCTACGATGAAAGATTGGAGACTATTTCTATTTCTTCTGCAGATATCATGTTAATTTAGTTATTATTATCTTTCATTTGGCCGACTTTACCTAATTCATATGGCCTTCACTTGAAAAAAAAACAAGAAGCGGCTATGATTGTTACAGACTGTTATGATGAGGACTGTTCGTCAAAAAAGTTGTTTTTCAACATTGATGTTTTTCCTGAGATTATATTGAATTATTACTGCACTCTTGAGCTATTGCGAATATCCTATTACCCGTCAATGCCATTTTCAATCGAATAAAAAGGGCACTTTATTTTTACGCATTATCAATGATCTGAAGTTGCAATTTGTAGTCACAAGCAAAACTAAAGAAAAGTTGAAGCGTCTAACATGAAAAACTTTGACAAAAAGTAAAACCTTTTTGAAGTTTTGTTTAGCTCCCCCACGCTCTGATAAAAACACAGTGACATCATTCTTGTCTAGTAACACTTTTTTTGAGACAAACAAGGCTATCTTAATTCAATTTTTAAAAATTGCTAAATCGGATTTAATCTCTACTTAATGAATGCGTTAGTACAGTGCTGGTTTAAATTATCCGAAAAAAATGCACAAAACTTTGCATTAAAAAAATTGCATTAAGGAGCAGCGGAGATGCACAATAATAGCAATTCTTAAAGTTTTTTTTAAGTGCTATGAGTTCTCGTTGGCAGCATAGCTCGAATCAAAACTTCATATTTTTTTAATATCAAGCAACTAGTCGACAATTGACAATGTTTTTCCAAAAGTTTTGTAGACTAGCAACAAGAAAAAAAACAAAAATTAGTTAGCTAAAAAACATTCAGCGGACTATTTATATGAATAATAATAGGCGCGCAACCTCTTTGCAAACTTCTGCAAAAAACGTATGTAATCAGACAGCGAAATAATTAACAAAAAAATGAAATCACAGTAAAAACAAGGATAGCCGGTTGCTGTGTACTACAAAATGTTCTGACCATATTCTAAAAATAAATAAATAAGTTTTTTTTTCAAATTAGCGTTGTTTTTTGACATTAAAGCATCTGAAGAAAACCTGAAAATTAGGTTTATCGAAAGTTACAGTAAAAAGAAAAAATCGGGCCACGGATTTCGCCAAAAAATGACTAGAAAAAAGTTCATAACAATTTCAAAAATTCTGTTTTCAACTTTTTTTTTCGAATTTTTGATTGCAAAAATGGCGGTGATATTCTCATAATTTTACAAAAATTTCAGGGCTTGTCCTTCTATGATCAGCATGCTTGCTTGCTTTAAGTGCTTGAAATTAGGCTAAAACTCAAATTAGACAAAATAAAACAATTCAAACCAGATTTTCTCAACAGGTAGAAATTTTCGAAAGTTTTTCTTTGTAGATGTTCGAATTAGGATTGAAAGGGCCTTAATAAGAAAAATTAATCGACTCATTCTGATGATTTTTTTCGGGTATATCTTTCGTTTGAAAAACAAAATAAGCCAGCTTGCAGGAAACAAGTAATCAAACGTGAGAAAGAAAAAAGTATTAACTCGCTTAAGATTAGATGAAATTGAAAAAAGAAATTTCGTCGAACTAATTTAACTACTCCTGTTGAAAACCTAACTTAAATTCCGAACGCGCTGATTTTTTGTTTATTTTTGGAGTTGATTATTGAAGTTTTCTTCGCTGACGTTTTCAAACGTTTTTTTCCAACGTTATTTTTTTTCCAACGTTTTTTTTTAGTTTAAGAAAACTGCAGAGTAATTAGATGGACAAAAACAGCGATTAGATTGAATAGTTTTGCAGAATGAAAAAAAAGGAAAAATATTAACCAGTTTTCTCAAAATTGAGACAACCTTTTTGGAAACTTTCGTAAATCAAAATCTTACCTGACAGAAAGGTGAAGCTGCGGTTCGCAAAAAACTGATAAAACTCCAAAATTGACTCTTAAAAATGAAGTAAGAAAAGAAAATGCCTAAAGAAGCATTGAAAAATAAAACTTACGCCACGAGCCGTTGATCGAACCCCCAACTTTGAGATAAAGAACCTCACATCTTCTGTCTGCCATATGCTCTTCAGTTTTTCAAAAAATTAGTCAACGACAACGCAGAGAAACACATTTCTATGCAGCAAAAGCTTTTACCAAATTGATCTTTATATGTATCAGTAAAAGCTCGATTGAGCTATTATGATGCAATACTTGTCCCCTCCTACGAGTTTTCTTTGAGGTAAACAAAAGCTGAAAAATTCACACCTACACCATAAGTTTTCTGGACATCCTAAGCCATAATTCTTCCCCTTCACTCGAAGTGCTCACAAAAAAGCCAACAGATGGCTGGAAGTCTAACAGAACTCAGAAAACCGAAAAAGTTGATTGAAAATTTTTTTATTCCTCTGGGATTTCAGAAAATTGAAAACCACTTTTGAACTTAAAATTCGATCGTTTTATGTGACCTTAGAATTTTTCTTTTGTTCGATAGCGGAGTTTGCTTTCCTTTTAACAAAGAAAATGAACTGAACGTACATGTGAAACACAAGTGAAACCACGTAAACATCCAATTTGAGCGTGAACAAATTTTACGACTCCTAAAAAAAAGAGAAAGAATCATTACGACCAATATAAGACAATCACTTTGTTCTTGTACATTTATAAATTCAACTCAAAAATACGAAGCCTAAAAAATGGTTTACCTCCCCAAAAATTAAAAACAATAGAAAAAACATAGCGAAAAAGCTTCTTGAATTTTTTCAAACAAAATGTGAAAACTCTGGTTTAGAGCCCCCTCTGTTAATCATGCACCTGCAAAGAACCCATTTTACCTTCTAACACAGATCTTTCCAACGGCTGAAAAAATCATTACATCGGAATGCCCTTTGCAAGGCGGAAAGTTTAGCAAGAAGGTAGAACTAATTAACAAGTTATTCGGACGATAAAATATCGCTTGACACCCGTTCACGCAATAAAGGAGTCGGTAGTGTTAGCTACTACTTCCTTTTGAATCGACAAAAAGGTGAAAACTTTTTTTGGGGATGGTGCTTTTTGGGGATGGTACAAGCAAAAAAAACTTTGCCTTTTTCAAGAAAGTACGAGGCAACTCATCAAAACTAAAAGTATTAATTTTTCCTAACAGCTTTCAATCCTTTTCGTGATATAATTATCCAGGCTATAGAAAACTTCTGTACAAGAATTAATTAAAATGTTTGAAATGAGTTCTGAAGCGGAAAGTTTTCTTGCGTAGGAGTAAGGGATCTGAACGAATATCATTTAAATAGATAGCAAATTTGTAACTTTCTAATCTGAAATGTTGCAATCCAATATATCATGTTAATTTAAGCACCTTGACGTCTGAAATGAGTTCTTGTGAGATATATTAAGCAATAATGTTCAAAATATATTGTTGGAAAGGAAAGATCTATTATGAGGCTTTGGTATGCTCTAATTTTAGAGAGAAACGCATTTAAAAGTTTGCAGCAAATACAACCTAGCAAAAATGAACTCAATATTTTAATTTTTTTCGCGTTGAATTCTTAACAACTTAGCAATTAAGTTAGCAAAACTATAAAAACCGATTTGAAATTCAAATCAAGCATTGCAAATCAATTGAAACTCAAAACAGATAATAAAATGATTTCTTTAAAGGCAGTTTGAGCACTAAAGGTCGATGTTAATATTTATATTTCTGCTGCGAATTCGAAAATTTCGGCACAATTTTTGTAAAATGTAGTTAAGTAGACAATGATATTGAAATATATTTACAAAATTACGAACTGTGAGATCATCAGATAAAGCTACTACTCAACGATGATGTAAAAGCGAAAGATAGATTGAATACCAAAGTATGCCAGGCTGTCTGAGACCAGTTATTTACTTCCATTTAATCTAAACTACTTGTGAATGATTTCTAAATGAACGCGAACATTTTCTAGCATTCCAATCAAATGATACCCTAGCGCACATTTTAAAACCAGTATAGTACAAGACAACAACTAAATTTGACAGTTAGCTAGAGGGTATATTTGATAGTTTTTCAGTTCAGAATAGCATAGCCGATTCCACTGTCGTCAGACTAGTCTGAGGCGTGAAATGATGCAAATTAGTTGAATCAGCTTGTTGTGAGGTAAAAGACGAAGTAAGCGGCAAGTTTTCAGCATCAGTCACATCTGACATCGAAACGGTTTTTTCGTCCCTATTTTTCACAGAAATCCTTTGATTTACCTCATTCGACAGAGAAGTGTCGTCTTCGTCTACCTCGGCGAGTTCTTCGTCATTGTAGTTCAGACAGGGATCTTTGCTCAGCTTAGATTTTGTAGTCTGCTCTCGGTAAACTACTAAACTATCTTGTGCTTTCGGTCCGACAATCTTTGCCAAATTACCAACTGTTGACTCAATATTTCCTTCGCCAGCAGAGGCACCATACCATTCTTGTTTCGAAATCGGAGTCGAATTCCGATTGACACTCGAATTATTATTACTTGAGGTTTTATCGTCGCTGATCACACTAAGCACTGTAGGACTTACAACAGGCGCTTTCTTCTTCTGCGAACCACTTCTTTTGCTATTATTACTGTTGTTGTTGTTGTTGTTGTTAATATCGTCGGGAGATAATGGCAAAGCATTAGCAATCACTGAAGGCTTGAATTCGCCTATGTCACCTCCCCAATCGTTAGACGAAATTCTTGACTCTGAAACAAAAGAAAACAAGGCCCTTAGATTAAGTAAACAACACTAGCGCAAATTTTTGCTCAATTACCCGATTCGACCCGATATTTAGCAATCATTTCTGAAAATTTTCATTTTGTCGTCTTTAATTATGCCTCTATCTCTTAGTGAAAAAGCACCACAAGCTAGCTAGTTCCTGACTCACCTCCAGTTTTACCATCGGATATGCTTTTATTCGAAACTCCTTGTCCACTTTTGTTGCCTGATGTTGCAACTCTTTCGGATCCTGCAGCAATTCCAGGTGTATTAACATCAGTAGTCGATCCCCAGGGCGAAAAGAGGTCATCTTCATGAGATGCCAAAGGCGCTGGTTCCGAATCGTCTTCAATCGTAGCCCCAGTTCCCGCTGTCAGTCGTTCATTACTGGTCATAATAGAATCGGATATGTTCGGCTCGCTTCGCTGTTTAGCTTCGTTCCCAGAATTCGCAGAGGAAGAATTAAAGGTCTGCTGCTGCGTTGGTTGGTGATTATTCGGTGGAGGTGTCTTCATTTGTTCGAGCTGATTTTCTCTCAATTCCTCTTCACTTGTCCAGAACACTATTGGATACTCGTGCACGTAGACATCCTCGTGGAATGAGATTTTCCTTTTGCTGCCACTTGAACTGCCGTTACCCTAAAAGAGAAACAAAATTTGGCTCTTTTCCAGTCCCCCCTCCAAAATACCGAGTTTTATGTTTGTTTTACGTGTTATTACGGCTAAATGCGTGATGTTACGCTGTCAAGTATGAACAACATATCTGTTCACAGGTGTCGATTTGTTCACCACGCCAAAATTCATTGCATTATGACAACGTTAAATAAGCTTTTCAAAATTGATTTTGAAAGGGGGGACTGGAAAAGAACCCAAAATTTATTGAGACCATTTGGTACCAATTTTCTAGTAACCACGCCAATCAAAACTTAAAAAAAAAACTTCTAACTCATTTTCCCACACTTTGCATAAGCCAGCAAACCTTACGTACAGACAAAAGGGCGACTGAAAATTTTAGCGCATACGTTTTGCAAGCTCCGAGATTTTAGCATTAGTTAACTTGATTCCGAAATTTAAGCATTAGTTAAAGCCTAAATAACAAACTGCTATTTCGTTTAACCAGCAATTGATTGTATGCAAGCTTTGAACATGACTTCTAATTCACAACAACATTGTTTTGGTTTGAAATTAATAATCTTTTCCAAACTTTAGAAATAAAAACTTAAGTATAATTGGAGTAGCATTTCCTGTCAGAAGAATAGAAGGAGAAAAATTAAAACAGAGGCAAAGCGGAGCTTCGCACCACTTACGATACAACACAATCAAATAAAAAGTAAAAAAAAGGAAAAGGTTGCCAAAAAATAGGTACTCGAAACTTCGGTATGTCTCCATAAAAGACAACAAGGGGTTCAGCTCAAGCTGGATGTACGTGTTGGATAGTTTTTGAATTTGTTAAACTGATTCGAGACGAAATGCGTAATTTCAAATGATGTCCTTTGCCTAAAACCTTAGTTGTATCTCGACTAAAATAAGTTAGAAGAGAGAAAACTTTTGAGATATTAGAATTTTCCCAAGGACAACATTTTTCGAAAGAAAACGTAAAGGAGTCGTCGCTTCGCAAGGAAAAATTCTTGCAACCGGTTCTTTCGATTGAACTTTCCATCTCAGATTTGATAGGTTAGTTTTAAAGAATTCAAAAAATCTCTAAAGAACTCACTTTCTGAAATCCATAACTTTTTCCTGCAAAAAGGTAGGTCGCGGCCACTAAAGTAGAGAAGATTCACAAAAACGAGTTGCTCAATTAAACCTTAGATTTTGCACAGTAGTTTTCGAGTGAAGTCAAAAGATTTCAAAACTTTGATTCTTGTGAAGACAATATCTTTTTTTGCAAAACAAAATGGTCATAACCATTTACAATGGTATGCTTTCAATAATCTGTTGTTTCGCTTAGACCTATCATATCAGATTTAGCAAGTTATTGAAAACAAAGTCTAAAAAAGGATCAAAAAACCAAAATCTTGACATTCCAAGGAATAGCTTTTTGTTTAAATTGAGTGTAAAGCAGTTACACTCAATTTAAACAAAAAGCTATTCCTTGGAATGTCAAGATTTTGGTTTTTTGATCCTTTTTTAGACTTTGTTTTCAATAACTTGCTAAATCTGATATGATAGGTCTAAGCGAAACAACAGATTATTGAAAGCATTGAGAAAGATTATTGAAAGCTTATGCAGAAAAGATTCAAACAAACTGCATCTTCGACTGAACCAAAAACTCAGATTTGTGACGGTAGTTCTCGCGAAAATCAAACTGTTTCATAAAACGGCCAAACAACAAAAAGTTTTCCAAAGGGCCACAAATTTGGGTGTTATCACCTATGCAAAAGAGCTTTTCACATTCTATTCTTTGGGTTGAACCCAAAATCACAGATATGGGAGGGTTATTTTCGCAAGTCAAAAAATACAAAAACGGTCAGAAAATCAAAAATTTGCGACAACTCCGAGGGCTATAACTTTATGCAAAAACAATGGGCGTAGCCACTTGTTCGGGACAGCTTTTTAAACCCGTTCTATTCATTGAAACCAAAATATCAGATTTGGGAATATTTGAGAAAGATTATTGAGAAAGATTATTGAAAGCTTATGCAGAAAAGATTCAAACAAACTGCATCTTCGACTGAACCAAAAACTCAGATTTGTGACGGTAGTTCTCGCGAAAATCAAACTGTTTCATAAAACGGCCAAACAACAAAAAGTTTTCCAAAGGGCCACAAATTTGGGTGTTATCACCTATGCAAAAGAGCTTTTCACATTCTATTCTTTGGGTTGAACCCAAAATCACAGATATGGGAGGGTTATTTTCGCAAGTCAAAAAATACAAAAACGGTCAGAAAATCAAAAATTTGCGACAACTCCGAGGGCTATAACTTTATGCAAAAACAATGGGCGTAGCCACTTGTTCGGGACAGCTTTTTAAACCCGTTCTATTCATTGAAACCAAAATATCAGATTTGGGAATATTTTTAGAGAAAACGAAAAAATATATATAACGTCTACAAATATAGTCTAAAAAAGTCTGCCTGTATATCCATATCTATATCTATATCTATATGTATATCTATATCTATATCTATATCTATATGTATATCTATATCTCTCTCTCTATATATATATATATATATATTTTCGTTTTCGCTAAAAAATATTCCCAAATCTGAAATATGTATTGGTCAAGTATTACCCCCAGACTTTTTCGGTTAGTATGCAGGCAGACAGAGAAGCAGGCAGTCTTTATATTGATACCCTTTCTTGAAAACCGGTAGAATAGTTTTTGAGAAATGAAATTTTTGCCAAAAATGAAAAAAAAAGTGGTTTTAATCATTATATATAAAAACCCATTCCGATACAATTTCCTAAAACCTGATCAATCAAACAGGAATTCAAGGCAAACATGCTAAGCAAGACATTGGAATGTTAGATTAGCAACGGAACAAGACTTAGGAAGCGGAAACGCAGCCGACAATCTTCGAGCAGACACCAGTTGAGCCGAAAAAAAACTGAAAAAATAAATTAAAAATTTGAAGTCCCCTACAATGAACAACCCTTTAAACTAACAAGATACTTGCTTACAGAGCAAAAACAACCCGTGATGTGACAACTAAGCCGACAAAACTTGAGGAAAAAAATTATCAATTGCATACATGCTGAAAACAACAAAGTCCGGTCGGGGTTCGAGCCCCTGAATTCAGGGCGCAAAAGCGACGGCGTTACCCATAGGCCAAGAGCGAAGGAACCTGTCAGTTTTTTATATTCAACAATAAAGGCTGAAAATTTGTTTTAAAAAGTTGTTTACGGGGAAAAAAGTCTAGTTCCCGATTGCAAGACAGTTGGTTTCGCAAGTGTAATCAATTTTCTGCTTTTTAACTTAAACAGGAAACATATGAAGACTGAGCAAAAATTATTCTTGCCCAATTTCATTATTGCTCAAGCCCAGGGGGTTAACTGGTCTGACAAAATATTTTTATCATTCCTTAATTACCACTGTTATTTTGGATCCCTGCTAAATAAATTTAACATACACATTTTTTTGTATGAATTTCATTTAGACCAATCACCTCTTTTCCTTTTTGGTTTATGCATGATTTCAAATCCGAAGGTGGCGGCTCCACAACTATCGTCAACTTCTCTCGAGGTCGAATTCGAGGCCCTTCTATCTTCCTAGCGTCACTTACTAAGCCGGGTTGTTCTTTCGCAGCAGCTTGAGGGGTTGGACTTTCATTCAAATTTGGTTCATTTTTGAAGGAGGTTACAAGAGGCAGTCCTACTTGCTCCACCAAAAATGGAGGACCTCTCACCTGGTCTTCCTTCGGGACTATCTTCACAGAAGCAGAGGCTGATTTAGGTCCAGTCGCAAATATTTCAGTCGATCCACCTTCCACCTCTGGTGTTTTTACTTCGAAAGTTTTTGCGGCTGGAATGCCCGAGGTGATGTTTTTTGGTATAGAATCCTTCATTTTGAAATCGCTTTCTGCTTTCCCGGTATCTAATTCAGCTGAATCTTGTTTTTCTATGAGAATTACCTCAGGTGTGTTTAAATTCAAATTTAAAGGCTGCGAATTGAAAGCGTGTTGTACAACTGATTGCTGCGAGTTTGATACAGAAGATGCGAAGTACTGATTACCTGAACCAGTCGAAGTTTTCGCGGTGACAGGTGCATGTTGCGTCACAATTTCGAATTCAGGTTCAAATCTACTGACTTCTTTAGGAATTAGCCGATAGGTAAAGGAATCCCTGATGATTGAATTCATGAGATGTGTCAATTTGTCGCTTTTATACTCGTGTACGAACTTTGGCATGTAACTTTCGACGTAGAAGTAATTACAGTTGTATAAACCTTGTTGTTGAACAGTTGCATTACCTTGTTTCGAATGTAGCGCTGTCAAATTTGGACTAGAGACTGTTCTTTGGCTCTCAATATTTGACACTTTTTTGCCGTCATTTACTTCTTTATATATTGGCAATACTTCAATCTTTGACTTATTTTTATTCTCCAGTACATTTGTGGGCAACGGAAATGTTTTCACGGGGTTGCTAGTACCCATGCTATAGTTAACGGAGCTTGAACTTTGAGTACTCGTGCCCATGTTGGTGCCAGCCAGTTGTTTATTTGGATCTAACTCGTTCGAGATTAAACGAGCACTTTTGTATCTTTGCGACAAATTGTTGTCGGACATAGATCTAGTGGATTTTGCGTAATTCCCTGCTTTCAATACAGGTGTTGGACTTGCTGATTTCGTTTCTTTAAACATAGGCGTAGGGCTCTTTTCTCTTTTCACTGCTCCAAATGCAGCGTTGTGCGACGGCGTTGGACTCTTTCTTTCCCAGACGCTTTTGAGATTGGATACCGTATTCGGTGCAGGCATCTCATTTTGTGTAAAATCGACGATTCCATCTTGATAAACCGGCAGGGTCACTTCATTGCTCACAACATTTCGGCTACTCACATTTTGTGACAATTCGACCTTTTTACCTGGGATTTTTTGAAGTTTAACATCAAACTGAGAAAATGGTGATATCAAATTATTATTGCTTTGATAATTTGCGTTTGAAAGCTTTCCTTGTGCTTGAAAATTAGTTGGACTCCTCAAAGGTTCGGTTTTTCCATTTCGAGAACTTTTCTCGAAGAGATTTCTTACTTGTGAATAATCATTGGCAACTGGATAATCCAAAGAGTCGTGACTGTTGTTTAGGTCGGTTTCTAGAACAGCTTCTGGAGTCTTGTTTTTGAAATTTTGATCGGAAATAATACCAGGTGATCGAAAACTTTTTTCAGCGTACGGCGAAGACACACGGGGTTCTTCGAGCTTGATTTGATTTCCACTCCTCTCAACTCTGGTGGCAGTTCTTAACTGTTTTGCTTCCAAAAACTTAAAAGGGTTTTCTTTAACCTTTACCACAGCTTCCTCGATAACATCGGTCTGATCAGCGATACTATTTCTGAGCGTAGGTTTATATGGTTGCGGGCTCAGAAAAGCCGCTTGTTTCTTAGTAAATCCCATTTGACTTCTCTGATGATAATCATGAGAGTTGCTGACACTTTGGAACATGGCTACCGAATCTGACACTCGCATTGTTCGCTCCTCTTCAAATTGCGAAGATCCACCAGGGACTTCAGACTTGACTCTTTTGTTATACATAGCTTTTGAATTTTAAAAATCTTGCCTCATTAAGTATTATCTGTTAATTTTTAATCGTTCTTTCGATTGCATTATAGAACCGTTGTTTTTTTCTCAGTAGATTGCCGACTCAAACCGATACCAGCTTAACTATCAATCAAATCGATTAAGTTTAACGATTAATCAAATCTGAAAAAAAAAACCTATAATAATAAATGCGGCTTCCACTGCTTCTTTTATCAGATAAAACCCCAGCCGGTGTAAAAAAAAAACTTAATGAATAATTCATATACATAAATGAAGGAATGAAAAATTATTCCGGTAATCAGAAGGACAAAAGTATCAAAGTAACCGAGTTTACAGACAGGAGTCCCGTCATCACAAATTCCAGTCAAAATCCTGTAAACTTTCTTGGTAATCAGAAGGTCAAAAGTATCAAAGTAACCGAGGTTATAGTCAGGAGTTCCTTCATCATATATTCCAGTCAAAATCCTGGGAATTTTCTAGACATGGAAGTGATAATGATAAAAAAGGATGATTATTCTTGATATGTTCAAATATTAACTTGATACGGGTTACGTTTCTTCAATAAAAACCCGCAATTCGACACGAGAAATTATTTATAAATATATTTTGTACTACCAATAAAAAAAATACGTCGGCTGTTTTGTCGTTAATTGTGCCAAGTAGACAAGCGGCGTTCGCAATCTGTATTTCCATGGAGATTCTGTTTAAAAAAGCTGCCTTCCCTGGGTTCCTCAGTTCCTATGCTTAGGTTCTTACAAAGCTTACACAAAAAATCTTCTGTGCTGGGGCCGGCTGCGCCCTGAATCTCAAAATCTATCATCTCCTAAGTACTTATACTTCTGATTTCATCGCTCTTCCGCTTCAGCCGTACCAGGGTAACAAACCAACCCAGCACTAATCCTACTGGGGGCTACGAAGATTATTACTGTTACATCCCACATGTGTTGCTTACCAACAGTCCATGGAACGAGCGTCAAACCGTCTGGCTGCTTCTGATCGGTGTTGCCCAGGTTTCGTGGCTCTAAAACGCAAGGACCGTGAGACGAAAATATATTCCGCTTTATAAAGGCATTCAAAGAAAGCCTCGAGAATCTCCCTGCACTTTTGAAGCAAGAAATGCCATGTCAACCATCTTCGGTAACTCCTTTTTTGCACACGCATTTATGGAATTTTTCTAGACGGAAAAAAGAGAGTCAGATGTTTGGGAACCAAGCCAACAGAACTGAGAAAATTAACACCAGCACAGAATGAACCGGAGTTAAAAAAAAGTCACAGAGATTGACCTAATGAGGCTACGGGTCTACTAGGTACTTATATTAAGCTGGTCTTTTAAACCCTCGTCTCTATAAATAAAGAATTTCTTCGAACATTCTTTTCATTAAAAGAGCCGATTACACAGGCAGTGTTCGCAACCTGTATTGCGAGGGAGATTCCTTGCTTAAAAAACTACCTGCCATGTTCTCCTCGGTACTATAAGTCGTCCACTTCAGGCACACATGAGGTTAAGAAAAATAGGCCTTATAACCATTCGCTCAAGGGTCAGGGACACTACATCTTGCGTTTTGTAACTCAATCTGTTCGAGCCAACTCGGTTCACTTAATACATGGGACATCGAGATCGTGTTACAGCTTAAAGGCTACTATCAAAATACCCCCACTCTAGAAAGAGTCCCATCGCCATGTAACGCCATTAAAAACAGGGTTGAGAACTGAAGTAAATACTATTTGTTTTTTTTGGACAGTGGACATTTGATCCATTTCAGATGGATCAACCTAGAACTCGCCTTATCTCAACACAACTGCATAAAATTGCTCTCTAGTAATTTATTTCAGATACTCACATCTAGACGACCGGGCTGCAAAAAATCCCAGACTCTATCAAGTAACATAGCTATGATAACTTAGGAAGTTCTGATAAAGCAATAAGTTTTGACTCAAGAAGCACGGGGTTGAAACCCAGCCTGCGCTTATTCTACTAGGGGCTAGGGAGTCGACTATCATTACATCCCACAACAGCTGCCAACCAACAACCCATGGGGGAGTTAAAGCTTATTGTTGCTTCTGATCTGTCCTAAGGAGTTTCCGTGGCTCTGAAGCAGAGGGAATGTGAGTGGAGGCAAAACTGCTCTAGTAGGGCATTCACATTTAAATGCTGAGAGAACCTCGTGCGCTTTTCAGACGAGACAAGCCATGCCTTCCATCTTCGGTTAAATCTTTTCCGCAAACGCATCTGTTTTTCACAAATTTTGACTGAAGCTAGGCTGAATCCAATTGCAATTCCAAGCTGCCGATTTGACTATTTTAATCTGAAGATTATTTTTTTCGTATAATATTCAACTTTTTTACATCAATAGATTTTGATTTCTAAATGAATTGAGAAACTTGGTTATCAAAAAAAGAGCCATTCAACCAGAATGCTGTTGACTTTCATTCATAAGAATACAGGCGTACGACATGTTAAAAAGGAAGATTAACAACGTTATTTGTATTTTGAACAGGAAAAAAAAGGTTACTTTCAGACCGTTTTTTTGAAATTTCTATATGGACGTGCATGCATGACACCTGAGAGTTTTCTTTCGAAAAACTGAAAATGCACGAAAATCAGAGAGACAATTTTCGCTGTGAAAACAAGACGGCAAAAGTTTAGAAAAACCACAGTGTTAATGCGTATAACGAACATTCGGTATTGGAAGAAAAATTTTCCGAGTATTAACAATTGTGAATTTACAATCGTTATTGGACATACTCCACGGATCGGGATGGCTGGAAGCAAAGACAGCAATCCTTCCAGGTGGTGAAGAAGGAGCTTGTTCAACGAAGACCAGAAATTTCTAAAGAGTATAATTTTCCAATTTCTTTTTAAAATTTTGGGCTATTCTGAGTTACACTACATAGATATGATTGTATTACATCAATTTTAAATCAAATTAGCCAAGAAACTTGACCAACAGATAATTTCTCTGAAAAAGAATTATTCCTTGCTTTTTACAACATATACACATCTTATCGACCTTAAAAGGAAAAGGATGCATATGCTCATGCTCGTGTGATGATTTGTGTTACTAAACATCTTACCTCCTCTCAAGTAGAAGTCTACCATGACTTTAAGGACTTTCCTTGTACTTGCACAATAGATCTTGGTACCTCACCTTTGACTGTCGCATGCGTTTATGTACCTCCTTCAGACAGTCCTTACAGCATATCCTTTCAAAAACTCAATTCAATGCTTAATTTTCTCTGCAAACTGACCTATGACCACCTGATCTTTACAGCCGATTTCAAATTTCATGAGATCAACTGGACTATTTAATCCTCAAAAACTGAATCAGAAACATCTTTACTCGATTTTATGGATGAAAACAGCTTTCAACAACATGTGGATCTCCTCACCACAAATTCAAGCATATAAGATTTCTTTATTACTTCCGAAGATTTCGAAATTGAAAAAATAATGCCATTACGGAATCTAGATGTGTCAGATCACTTTGCCATAGAAGCCACAGAATCCAAAAAAATGTTACTTCTGAAATTACACCGCGATGTCTACTTTAGCTATTGTAATTGAGATTTTGAAAAGATAAACGACACTATTATTCAATCCGGTTTTCAACAATATAGCTTGTCTGGTGAATTCTCATAGATTCCAATATAAAAGGTTCCAAAATAAAAAATCAGTCGCATAAGTTCAAAAATTTAACTTCTTGAATTTTGATTGGTTGAAATTTGGGCCAACGAATTTATGGATTGAGTGTTTACTGTTCAACCAGTATAAACTCAAGCTGCAGAACAGCTTGCCACCAAACGTGTTGCGAGCTTGCCACCAAAGAGTAGGACTCTATTAGAGCCGGTTATCGCAGCAAAGCGTCGACGCGCGCGTGGCGCATCCGCCGGTCATCTCAAACCGAGACTCGGCTAATTGAGTCTCTTGACCATTTCAAAAGATTTGAAACTTTTGCGACTGCTTTTTTGGAACCTATGGGACTGATTCTTTTTTTTGGAACCTATGAATACGCACCGCACCTGCTGGTCTAATGTATCGTTTCTCATTGAACAATGGTATCATTGATTGAATGAAAAACTGCGAAAAACCCTTCCTATTTGAACAAAACACAGACGTTCACTTCCTCCCTGGGTAACTTATGAGACCTCGAATTTGTTTGAGCGACTTGAAACAACTTCTCGAAAGTATGGTGCTAAAGTGTCTTGCATTATCTATAATTTGTCGAAGATCTCTTCAAAATGACAAGATTGAATAATACGAGAAAGGTCTAGCAAATGGCGGAAACAAAAATGCTTTGTTTAAATTTTAAAGGCCTCGAAATAAATCACGGTTATCGTAAACTTTGCGCTTTCGCAGCGCAGAACCCTCGACTGACCTCGAGAAGGCTGAGATAATTGCTATTTTTTTGCAGAAAACTACATCGAATCTTCTCAATATCAAATAAACCATCATTCTATATCAAATTGTCCAATTATAGATGATTTTATTATGAACGAGTCCTTGAATATGGTTATTTCTTTAAACCTAGATATTAAAAAAGCCAGTGGTCCGAGTTACCTTACAGCTTTTTTAGTCTCTTAATGTGCTAAAACAAGCTGTTGTTCACTATATCAATTATTTTAAAAATTAAAGCAATCTTCAACATATCCAGAAACATTGAAATAATCAATAACTTCTCCAATAAAAAAAAGCTGCAAAATTACAGTAGAAAACTATCGACCATTCTTTTTTATTGTCAAAACCTTCAAAAATTACTTGAGCGATGTTTTGTTTATCGCTATATGATTTTTGCAAACCTTTTTTGTCTACCCAAGCGACAAAAGTACTCGTTCATTGGAGTCTTTTCAAAAAAATTGATTTTGGATCATTGGTCATAAAAATTATAAAGACGCCCTAATTAAACCGAACATTTTACCAATACCATATTATCTTCAAATGCTAAGCTTTTTATACTTATCCAAACTAATGAACGGGTCCTACGATTTCGATTTTGCTACTAAAGTGGTCAGTTATTCACCCAATGAAATTTTTTTCAATACAAGGTCTGCTGTTTCTTGTTTGTTTCAGGTACAACAACAAAATTGAAGCTACGTGAGCAGAACTTCTAGTTTCGTTCGACTCGACTTGCAAATTTAGCACCAAGTTATGTTGACATTA